ACCTGAAGAGGGAGAGCACTGCCACGACCCCACGGGGACCGCTGTAGCCTCCGAAGGCAGCTGGGCTTACCAACTGGCACTATGACTCCATGCTTAAGCATGCAAACTTTGAACGCTCACAACTTTGTTGGTCGGCTCATTTTGCAATTTGAATTTCCATATTTCTCAATAACTTTCAAAGCCCTATCGATATACCTAGGTCCCCATTCAAAGTTCCATGGGAAGTTAAAACCCTTCCCTGGTTAGTTCCACTTGGTCTTCAGAACAGGTGCGCATGGGTTATCATATGAGAGCGGAGGACGTGTAGTGGCAAGTGGCGCACTCACGCGCATGATCCTATCCCGGATCGCTACCGGCTTAAAAAAGCCAGATCTTCCACCATACGCGGTGTGGTAAATTGGTACCAGACTCATCTGGGAGGATATAAGTGTTGACCAGTCATCGACTGGTCACCGCAAGTCATTGTATAAACCCCTTACGCATTCAAAGCGCCCCTACGGTTGTGAATGAAGTCGAATCTTCGGGCACATGCAAGTAATGGGCTTTATTAACACAAAAAGACATTATCTTTTACTCTCTATATCATCACAATTAGTCGTGTTCATATTATTAAGATAAATAGGTGACGGTCATTGAATCCTGTAAGAATGCGCCATGCAAGCTCTTTTTCTTCGAAACTACTACCTGTGAGATGTATATGGCAATAAATTGCATAGGCATATAATTGTGCAAGTCAACATTTTCCTCTTCAACAGCTTGTTTGTTCAACTACATACTTGACCACGAAGAGGTACGAAGTGTACCATTCGGGTGTTTATGAATTCTCAAGGGCTGTGATCTTGGCCCAGGGCTTCCTCTGTCTTACTCCAAACAAGAACAATACAAAATCAAGTAATAAATAAATAAATAAATTCAAAATGCCGAAATGATATTAGTGTGAGTTAAGAAAAGCTTCGAAATTCATGTTGGGGAAGTTTTTAAAGCTCACAATGCAGCGATCATGGGAGCCATTGATCGTCCCAGGACAGAAACGATATGTCTGTCAGAGAAAGGCAGATGAATTATTCATGTTATGTTTGCTCGTTGGTCTTTTTCATTTCTGCTTCTTTCAGACTTTCTACTTCAACCCCTCAATGTATCACTAAGACGAAAGCCATATTCGAGAAATGGGAACGGGCTTTGACTACAAGGTGGAAGGGAATGAAGGAGGTGAAAGAAGCGAGTAAATCCTTACCGAGGAATAGGAATATGAAGACTGAATTAAACAAATGTGGTGAAGTTTGAGCATTAAGTGTAAAAGAAGGAGAACGAAGGCAGCAGAAGGGTGCGTAAATNATATAGTCTTGCGAATAGAACCTGAGAATGCCATGAAAGGATGACAGTTTTATAACTAACTTGAAACCAGAAAAAATCCCAGAAAACTGAAGAAACGATGAAAAGAAACTGCCAAAAAGTGGGAAAATCCCAATCAAAAAATGGGCATTAAAACCAGACTGGAAGAAAGCGATTGGAAAAACGTAACATTTGGTGCTTTCCAAATGCAATAAAGCTATCGAGAAAGGGCTAGTAGGCCGTTAGAATGACGCTAGAAAAAAAAAACGTTGAAAAAAAATTAAAGGGCAAAAACGTCGAGCCAGCATCCCTCAAATGGAGGTCTAGCGTGAACTATTTCCACATGCTCGTATATGGCCCTGTACTACGGCTTGACTGACTATTTTCTAATTCCAAATGATGTGATAAAGTACAAGCTACCAACTCAGATAACATCTTAGGAGGCGTGACTGGAGATAAGTACAGAGGGAACTAGTGCTCAGTGGGTGGTATTGGGGGCTACTACATCTTTTAAAGGTAAAAACACTTGAGTCGCACGCGGATAGGCTATTCGAGTCATTGCCTAAGCCAGAAACCAGTTTAAAGGTCGATAGGATTCTGGATAGACTCCTTGTCGATATGAGTTGGAATTCCTTCTGTATTGTGTGCACGATCTCGTGGAACTCTGCTGAAGTTTCGGCTCTTGGAGTGAAAAATTGAGCTGGTCTACGTCGAGGTATATCTCAGCCTGCCTAACTGTCCCCATAAAAGGCAGATCGCTGTTGGTGTACGCGGCTCTAATCCGAACAGTAAAGCAGGATAAAGCCCTTTGGCCCTTGATCCCATTTTTAGTTTCTGTGCACCCACGGAGGTTCCCCTTTAGAATTCCAGATTCCATCCGCTCATTATTTCACCAATATTTTTAAAAAGACAGAAAGGAAAAAAGCAGAAGGAACAACTAATGAACAAATCCACATTCATCGTTTGAACCGCAATTTTGATAGGAGACATGGGATTACGGTGAGATTGGTTTCACGAGACATCTATCTCGAAAACATCTGCTGACACTTCGGCTCCAAGGAGAAAAACAGGAGGGCAAAGAGCTGGCAGAGCCGCCTCAGGGACCTCCCCGCTGATTCTCACCAGCACACACACATACACACCCCGGTGTAAGGGCATCAATCATGCGAGGAGAATCATAGAAAAATAAGAGCCCCAAGGACAATATGGCAATCACTGAAGCGGATATATCAGCTGAAGCTGAAGCTGGCGATTCATAAAGCTGGCCAGAAATTCGACCTGGGGACTAGATGGGAAAAAGGTGACTCCTGTGGTGGCTTCATTGAGGAATAGGGGTCCACGCATTGAATGGTATTTGTCCAAAGGAACGAGTTGCTCGTATGATTACTGGAATGCTACGAAAGCATAAGAAATGCGAAAAAACCTAGAAGTGGTTTTTGGAATAGTTGAAAACACTGCGATTTGTCTATCTTCCCCAGTCATGCCCTAGCGATTGAGTGAGTGGTAAAAATACTTTTTCCACAATTAGATCCTATTTTTTTGTTTTCATTTGAAGTTGTTCTATTTCAGGAAAGTCAGTGGCCAGAAATAATGGGCTGAGACTGCACACGCACCACGACTAACTCTGTTCCGGATGATCATAAGTTTTGTGTTTTCAGGGTCGATCGGATCGGCTGCCGTCAGTTTGAACTCGAGCTTGTTCAAACAAAACAGGAAGGGTATCATGCAAGCGTGAAAGTCAAGAGCGGAGGCATAGTTATCAGTTAGCAAGTCAGAGCCAGGAAACCTAG